GTCACTTCCTCTCTTTTTTTAAAATTATTTATGTATTTATTATTTTAGGAGCTCTGGTAGCGTAGTGCCTACGGCACTTGACTGCTAACCAGAAGGCTGGCAGTTCAAACCCACCAGCCACTCCTCGGAAGGAAGATGGGGCAATCTACTTCCGTAGTGATATTGCCTTGGAAACCCAAGGAGGGGTCGCTATGATTCGGGTCCGACTTGATGGCACATAACAACAACAACAACAACAATTTATTATTTTATTTTTTTCATAACACTTAACACTCACTGGAATGACCATCATTTGCTTTTGCTTTAATTAATTCAACAAATGTTTATTAAGCCCCTACTGTGTGCTAGTCACCGTTCTGGGCACTGGACACCCTGCCATGAACAAGACAGACAAAAATCCCTACTGTTGTGGAACTGGCATTCTAGAGGGAGAGATGAAGGATAACTAAGTGAAACGTGTTACATGTTAGGGAGGCCTTGGGTGCTGTACATGGTTAATGAGCTCAGCTGCAAACATAAAGGTTGGGGGTCGGAGTCCACCCAGAGGGTCCTTATAAGACCTGGTGATCTGCTTACAAAAAACCAGCCATTATGGAAAAACAGTAACTGCTGAGGCTGGCTGTGTACAACCAAACACCTCATGGAATTTTGCTTCTTGTTTTGGAGGTTTAGGGTCATGGTTTCATGGGACTTCCAAGTTAATTGGCCTAATAATGTGTTTAGTTCTTCTAGTCTACTCCCTAAAGAGCTCTGGTGACATAGTGGGTAAGGTAATTGGCTGCTAACTAGAAGGTCAGCAGCTCAAACTCACCAGCTGCTCCTCAGGAGGAAGATAAGGCAATCTACTCCCGTAGAGATTACAGCCTTGGAAACCCAATGGTGGTTGCGATGAGTCAGAGTCGACTTGATGGCAGTGGGTTTATTCTACCTCTAAGGAGCTCTGGTAGCTTAAAGCCTAAGGCATTTGCCTGCTAACCAGAGGCTGGTGGTTCAAACCCAACAGCCACTCCTCAGAAGGAAGATCGGACAATCTATTTGTGTAGTGATACCACCTCAGAAACCCAAGGAGGGGTACCTATGAGTAGAATAGACTCAATGGCAGTGAGTTAAGGAACTCTAGTGGCACTGTGGTTAAAACATTGGACTGCTAAACGAAGTCTGTGCTTTGAACCTACCAGTCACTCCACAGGAGAAAGATGAGGCGGTCTCCTTCTATAAAAGATTTCCAGCATTGGAACCCCTTATGGGGCAGTTCTACTTTGTCCTATATAGGGTCACTATGAGTTGGAATCAACTCGATGGCTTGATTCCAACTCATTGGGAGCTCTGGTAGCATAGTGGCTATGGCACTTGACTGCTAACCAGAAGGCTGGCGGTTCAAATCCACCAGCCACTCCTCGGAAGGAAGATGGGGCAATCTACTTCCGTAGTGATACTGCCTTGGAAACCTAAGGAGGGGTCGCTATGAGTCGGGTCCGATTCGATGGCAAACAACAACAACGACAACAACAACATGAGTTGGAATCAACTCAATGGCAGTCGGTTTGGGTTTTTGACCTTATCTCCTGGTTTAGTTGCATAGTGCCTGGGGTCTTAAAAGCGTGCAAGGGCCATTCAAGGTACAACTGCTCTCCATTCACCTGGAGCACCAGAGGGAGGAGAGTCAGGAACACGAGGAAGAAATGGGGTGTATGGTTAGTTGCCTCCATGAACAACTGCCCCCTTTGGCTTCAGACCAGAACTGGATGGTGCCCAGCTACTATTATTGAACGTTTCCATCAAAGATTCTATAGAAGAATCCTGATCAAAAGGGGGGAAATGCAGAACAGAGAATCTGGATTCTCATGAAATCCAGATTTCTGGAGCCATAGAGGGTGGATGAACACCCGATACTATCGCCATGGGGTTTAAAAAGAAGTGGATGAACAAGAAAACTCTATGGAGCACAGTTCGACTCGACATACATGGACCTGCTATGAGTTGGAAGGAGGGGCAATGGCAACTGATTTTTTTGGTCATAAGTTAAAGTGGCAAGTCGTAAGAAAGAAGTTAATGAAACAGAAATGTGTATATGGCATGGCCAGACCGCTCATTCAGGACATATCTGAATACGGACTTGAAGGGGGAGAGAGGAGCCATGTGGGTTTCTAGGGAAAGAGCATTCCAGGCAGTGAAAACAGCAAGTGTGAAGGCCCTGAAGTGGGAACATGCCGACGTCTATTTAAGATGTTAGAGTGGTGGATAGGACGGATACAGGCCTACCTTCAAGGTGCTCAGAGCTTAACGGAGAGACAGATGAATCGGTATATGAGATAATGCCAGGTGATCTCTGGTGGCGGAGTGCCTAAGGCAGTTGACTGCTAACCAGAGGGCTGGTGGGTTTGAACCACCAGCCACTCCTCAGAAGGAAGGTTGGGCAATCTACTTCCGTAAAGATACCGCCTCAGAAACCCAAGGAGGGGTCGCTATGAGTCAAATTGACTCGATGGCAGTGAGTTTGGTTATTTATTTATTTTTTGGGGCCAGGTGATTAAGCAGGTGTGGCGCTAAGTAGAGAGGAAAGGGGGTGGTCAGGATAGGCCTTTCTGAAGAGGTGGTATTTGAACAAAGGCCTGGAGGAGGAGAGGGAGAAAGCTTGTGGGTATTTTGGAAGAAATTGTTTGATGCTTGCCTCTTGCCCCTCCCACCATTCCAGTGAGGGCTCAGGTTTCGAAGCAGAGGAAACCTCTGGGTGTCTCAGAGCTGCTGGAGGAAGGGAGTTCCAATGTGGTGGTGGTGGTGATACAGCCCCTTGTCCCCTGAGGCAGTCTGCCCCACGCCTTCTCTCCCACTGACAGTGCTTGTTAGTGCTGGTGTTGCTGGGCGGGGCTTCAGCTTAGGAGCCCGAGTCCCTCCACCCTCCCATCAAAGCACCATCCAGGCTTCAAAGGAGCCGCTGGGCCCTGCGCCTCTGGCAAAAGAGGAGGAGTCACCCAGAGCACAGCTAGGGCCCCACCCCCCAGTTGCTGGCCATCTGGGCTTCCCAGTTCTGGGTGGGGTGGGCGGCCCGTGCCTCCCCTCAGCCATCATGCAAAAAGTGAGAAGGGCCTCACTGTAGCCTAGTAGTAGCACCCACAGGATGCCAAGTTAGCCTGCCTGGGTTCAAATCAGGACTGGCTGTGTGACCCTGAGCAGCTCACTTAATTTCTCTGGAGCTATATCTCCATGAAAGAAGTTTGTTACAATCCCTGCCCCACCCCCCAGCTCCTATAAAATGCTGGATGAAGGTGAGCTATATTACTTTTGGGAATACTGAGCCTGGAGGGGTATCTGGGCCTGCTGTGCCTCACCCCCAAGCCCACCTCTCCAGCTCTCCCAGAAGGCAAGGAGAAATACAAACCCGGGATGGAGAAGGGGCCCTCACCCACTGAATCGTCTCTGAAGGAAAGTAGGGCAGCCCCAGGCCTAATTAATCATCAGCAAAGCTTCTGGAAGAGGCCAGACAGCTGTCCTACGGGAAAAGTCAGCACTGACCCCAGCAGCCACTGCAATCCTGGCTTCTGCAGGACTAGGGGTGGGGGTGCAGAACGGGAAGCCTGGTCAGGGATCAGAGGTCCAGGCAGCAGCTATCCTCCCCTGTTCCATCCACTCAGCCATAAGACGCTAAGGTGGGGGGGGGACTGCTGCCTTAAGCCTACAAAGACACAACCACAATTAGAAATTGAACCGTTTATTGGCCCAGATCTGGGTTTCAGGCATGGGGGGTGGGGCGCATCTGGGGAGCTATGTGAGGGAAGACAAGCCCCTGACTGGCTCCTTGCCCCCCAAAGATCCCTCAAGCCTTTGCACTCATAAGGTGGAGGCATGAGGCTTCCCTTCCCCGAGGTGGGCTGCACCCCTACTCTCAAGCGGGGAGATGAACCAGCAATTACTAACGGGTCTGTGCAGGGCCACACCCCTCTTTGGCAGCTTCAACAGACATGAGGAGACAGAACGCATCCATTCTGGGGGAAACATGGCGGGGCGTGGGGTCACAGACATCACACACACATGCAAACGCAGACACATACAGATACATAAATACACATGTGTACCGCAACATCCCATCCATCTACAGGATTTGGCAAAATCCTTCTGGGGTAGTTTAGGCGGGAGTATCCCCAGGAAATGTCCTTGGTCACCCCGATACCACTTGAAAGGAGGCACAACAGCAGAGGGCTGCTCTGCCTTGGGGGACCTGGTACCTTGGCCAGGGCTGGAGGTGGGAGTAGTTTGGGGATGGTTTTATTTTAGGGGTTCCTGTGCAAATATCTTCCTCAGAACTTTCTGAAGTTCCACCCTGCCCCACAGGGAGGCCTAGAGCCATCCCCCAGCTCCCCCCCCAACCAGTTTTTCCAGCTTTTGGTGATTCCTCTGGGCCCCAATAGTGCAATTGGCCAATGAGGTCTGAGAATGGGGCTCAGCACCCCCACCCCTACCCCGTGGTTTCCCGGCATCTTGGGGAGTGAGAGGAAAGGGAAGGAGGAGCCAAGGCGACAGTGGGTAAAATTTGGGGAAGCTGTGGATTTGGGCCCAGGCACTGTAACCGAGGTATCCGGGAGCCTAGTGAAGTGGCCTCCAGCCCCTAGGTAAAGAAGTTCCTTAGAGGCAGCCTGAAGTTTCCAGAGAAAGTGGCCAGAGGGGAAATTCAGAGGAGAGTGTGGAGTAGGCCAGAGGGTCAGACGGTGCTCCCATGTCGAAATCCTCTGCACCGGCTGGTCAAGGGCTCCTGCCCTGCGCTCCCGTTGAGCGCCCACCTGGAGTCACCCTGGACACCAGCACTGGCCTCCAGGACCCTGCTGCAGCTCTGCCATCGGACTGGTCAATGCCTCAGCCAGACCAGCTGTGGAATGTTTCCAATATCATCTAGATCTGCAGGGTGGGGGCATCTTGCCAGGCAGCCCCTCATCGCTGTCTGAGGTCACTCAGCACCTCTGCACACGGCCCTCTGCCAGCAGCCTGGTTGTCAGCCCACCCACCTGTCAGACCACTGTGTTGCCCTCCAGAAACGTAGGTGATGTGGGCATGTGTGTACCCCTCTCCAGTGAGCTGGAGCTGCGCAGGGGCAGGAGGCGGTGGCCCGGGGTCCCGCTCCGCCGTCCTGGCACCCCTGCTGCCCGCTCCCAGCACTGCAGCGGCCGCAGCACCTCCCGCCGCAGGTCCCGGCTGCGCCACGTGTAGATGACAGGGTTAAGCAGCGAGTTGAGGGTGGCGAAGGCGAAGAAGTAGTGGGCCTTGTAGAGGATAGGGCAGGACCGGACCGTGCAGGCATAGTCCAGGAGGAGGATACTAAAGGCAGGCAGCCAGCAGACAATGAAAACACCCAGCACTATGGTGACTGTCTTGAGCAAGGCCAGTGTCTGCGGACCGGCCACGTCGGCATGGCTCGAGCGGACCACGCAGTAGATGCGGATGTACAGAGCCACGATGGCCAACAAGATGACAGAGAAGATGGTCACCACACAGAGCACGTAGTGCTTGGCGTAGAGCGGCAGGACAGTGGAGCAGGCATCCAAGTGGCCCAGGCAGTTCCAGCCAAGGATGGGCAGGCCGCCGAGAGCCAGCGAGATGAGCCAGGAGGCCGCGATGAGCAGAAGCATGCGGCAGCTCTTGTCGCTGCCGTAGAGCTTGACCTTGGCAATGGCCACGTGCCGCTCAATGGCAATCGCCAGGAGGCTGAAGACCGAGGCGGAGAGTGTGATGAAGGCAGAGCCCTCACGGGCAAACCACTGCACAGGAGTCAGCCCCAGTGTGACAGGGCCTGACAGCAAGGTATTGGCTATGAAGGCCACGCCTGCCAGGAGGTCCGAGGCGGCCAGGTTGCCCAGGAACAGGTACATGGCTGAGTGGAACTTGCTATTGCGTGTGACCGCGATGAGCACCAGTAGGTTCTCCACCACGATAGCACAGCAGAGGATGATGGTGAGGGCCGAGGCCACCTGGCGGGACGGTGTCTCCTGTGTGTCCAGAGTCTCCTTTGTGTAGTTGTAGTGTTCCAGGACCTTGTTGGGGCTCAGGTACTCCGAGTATAGGCTCCCCATGGTGGGGCTCAGTGGCTGGCTGGGGCCATGAGGCTGTCAGAGCTGCAGAGGAGAAAGACAGATAGGTCAGAACCATGAATGTGGCCTGGGCTTTGAGTCTCAGCCCTGTCCGTCCTTGGTGAGTGGTCCCATAGGGTCAGAATGAGCATTATCCCCATTTTACAAATGGGAAACCCAGAGAGGTCAATTCACTTTCCCCAAGTCTCAAAGCAGGTAAGCGGTGGAGCCAGAGATGGGCTCTGCTGCCTTCATAACCCCGAAGTTACTATCTTTCAAAGGAAAGAAACAACTCCTTCTAGGTCCCCCTGCAAATGGCATGAAGGGCACAAAAAATGTGGGCTTCTAGAAGCCTTGCCCAGCTGTCTGGAGAGCAAGGCTTGGGCAGGGCCTGAAGGGTTTGTCTCCAGCGTTCACAGAAGCCTCGAGCCTCAAGTGACCTGCTGACCTGGGCCACAGAGAGGCTTGCCCATGATAGCACCCTGCCCTGCTCATTACCACCCCCACTGTTCAGGATTTCAGGCTAGGCCTAAACCTTGAGGGCATGGGTGCTACCAAAATAAGGTCTTAAGGAGACACCTGGGCGGCCCTGAGGTCACACCATCTTAAAAGACACAGATTTTGGCAGCAATCCAGGGTTCATTCCCACTTCATTTCTGACACACTGTGGACCTTGGGCAAGTTGGCTTCCTGGCTTCCATGTCCTCATTTGTGTAGTGGGGGGAAGAAAGACCACTATACAGGAGTTTAAATCCTGATGCATGACGCATGCTTAGCATATAGTAAGCACTCAATAAATATTAGCTAATGTTATTATTACCACTCCACTTTTCTCACCACACACACAGCTCTGGACTGAGTTACCCTCACCCATTGTTTTGAAAGGGGATGCCAGCTGAGCCAGCCAGCCAAGATTCCCAACAGCCTGTTCCCATCAGCACCATCTAGCTCTGCCCTGGGACAGAGGGTCCCAAGGGGGTGGGCAGGGTGCTGGCATCCTACTCTTCAGCCAGGATGAAATCCAGATGTGAGGCCCCTGGAACAAACGGGATGGAGTCCGAGCTCCCCAGTCACATCCGGTGCAGTGAAGGCTGGGGGGGTTGATGGCATGGGGGAGCCATGGGAGACCTGTCTGGGAGGTCCTGTCTGGGAGGATGGGGCAGCTGCGCTGAAGTCATATGAGCAGTGAGGGGGCTTGCAGCCTGGGGGAGCATTTGTTTCCAAGAAAGCCTGAGTCACCCCCCCACAAGGAAAACTGAGCCGTGGGGGGAGGGGCAGGAGAGGCTCCGTGGGCAGAGGACGAGTAATAAACACCGCGGCCTTCCCCTCGTTTTTTTTTGTTTTTTTTTTTGGGGGGGGTGGGGCGGCTCCGAGGAGCCAGTGCAGGGTCTGCCTTTCACGAGGGGGGCCAGGAGGAAGCTCCAGCCGTCAGCTAATTGGAGAGGGCATGGGAAGAGCCCTCCCAAGGTCCCTGGGAATCCGCCTGGCAAGGACCACGTGCATGCCAGAAGCACCTTCCAAGGCTGGTTAGGCCGGTTCCTAGTGAGCCTTGGAGCGATGAGGGGCTTCCGGGGTCGCACAGCCCTCTCAGCCCCCGCGACCCCCTGAATGAGCACCTTGGCCTTCTGCCCGAAGGAGGCAGCTGCTTTCCCCGGTCGAGGGACAACCGTCCTAGTTTGGGAACAGAGAAGGGTTTGTGTACGTCCCCGGGGCCGGGTGCCCCTCCCAGATCGCCACACAGAGGCCCCTTGTTCCCGCAGGACAGCGCCCCGGGCGCCCCGATGCCCTCTGCCCGCCGCAGCCGGCCCCAGGCTGCCTGGGTCCAAGCCGCTGTCTTACCAGGCCCGCCGTCGGGCCGGAAACAGCCCGCACCCTGATTAGCTCATTCTCAATCCCAGGACACTGAGCGATCCGCCGATTGGCCTAAATTTTACACCCCCGGCACATGATTGGCCGGTTGGGGGCGCTCTACCACTTAGCAGCACTAGTTGGGTGGTTTACCAGCGGCTGGAGTTCAGTTTTTCCTAGATCCCAGTTATGGCTGTGGATGTCCCTGGGGGACGTTTGAGTCGCCGCCTGACTACTGGGTCAACCCGAGCAGACGTCCCCAGACTGCCCTGGCCTGCTGGGCCCTCCTGGGGTTCATAATTGAGAATTAAGGTCTCTGTCACAGGCCTGGGAACCACAGTTGCTGGCGGCAGAAGCCCAGGGCCAGTCCATCTCCCACCCCAAGGCTCACATGGGGGCTGGGACCCCTCACCAGTCCAGTGGCCAAAAGAAAGACTGACAGCTGATTTCTGGAGAAAGAAGAAATGGGGTCAGCCCCAACACCCCAGGGACCAACAAAAAAAGTCTGTCTTTTTCCTAGACGGAAGATACACTCCCACTTTCTGCAAGTCCAGGAGGCTGTCAAAGCATCTACGAAGTGAGGGGCAGCTTTCTTAGTCAAAGAGGGAGAAACTGAGGCCCAGACTGCCTGTCCTATCTTATTTTCCCCACTGGCTAGAGGAGAACCTAAGCCAGGCTTCCCAGAAAGAGGAAGCAGAGCCAATAGGCTGGGACTGGCATAAGAGTCGCCCTCAAGCAGATAGAGGCCTTGTTTTCTTCCCCTCCTCTGGGCCAGGCTCCCAGGCCTGGCTATGCACAGGGCCTGTCTCTTGTTCACCTTCACTGGGCAGGCTCAGGAAGAGGTCACTGGCTTCAGAACCAGCCAGGCGTGAAGTGGAATGAGAAGGACAAGTGAGTGGCAGAGTTTGGAGAAGAGAGACAGATGGGGAGATGTGAATATTTGGCCAGAGATTAGGCAAGGGGAAGGTGGGAGGAAGGCTCAGTGGGTCCCACCCGCTCTGCCTTCCTAGTTTTCAGAGGGGCAGACCCTGTGGTTCCAGTTCCCCAGGTCAACCATCATCCCATGCCCCTTGCTCTAGGCAGCCTCACCTCCACCCTTTTTCTTTAGGCTTCCCTCCAGCCTTCAGCACCTCCCACTATTCTCCATCCCACAGCCAGGGGGAGCTTTTCAATTTGTAAATCCCGTGTTGTTGTTTGTTGTTATGTGCGGTTGAGCCCGACTGGACTCATAGCGACCCCTCCTTGGGTTTCCGAGGTAGTATTACCACGGAAGTAGATTGCCCAACCTTCCTCCCGAGGAGTGGCTGGTGGGTTTGAACCGCCAGCCTTCTGATTAGCAGTCAAGTGCCTTAGACACTATGCTACCAGAGCTCCTTATAAATCCCATGGTTGTTGTTGTTATGTGCCGTCCAGTCAAACCCGACTCATAGCGACTCATAGTGACCCCTCCTTGGGTTTCCGAGGCAGTATCACTACGGAAGTAGGATTGCCCAACCTTCATTCTGAGGAGTGGCTGGTGGGTTTGAACCGCCAGCCGTCTGGTTAGCAGGCAAGTGTCTTAGCCACTATGCTACCAGAGCTCCCTATAAATCCCATAGGTCACCCCAATTCTTCCTTGGCTTCCCACAGCCCTGAATGGGTGGTCCCTGCCCACCTAGTTTCCTCCCACTCTGCCCAACAATCCATCTACTCCAGCCATAATGGTCTCCTACCTGCCCAGAGGTGTATCTAAGGTGTGGCAGGTAGGGCACGTGCCCTGGGCACCACTCAAAGGGAAGTACCTGGGAGCAGTTTCTATTAACCATCACAGTTTCCACCGCCAGCTGTGAGAGAACATTTTCATATTGAAAACCTCCCTGGGTCAAAGCAGACTGTGTGATCTTCCTCTGCTGAGTGTAAAAAGAGAAGAAACGGAAAACAATGACTGTGAGCCCAACGGAGACCGATTTTCATCAGTGAAAGCAAAGAAGGTGCAGCTGTCATTTTCATGTAGTGCCATCATGTGTCAAGTAAAAGATAAAAGAGCCTGACTTGTATTTTTGAGCTGATAGTATGGTAAAGTAAAATGTTTGCTTTAGGTGCTATTTTCCATTTTCCATAGATAAGTCTCTGTACCTGTCCCCACGTCAGGGCCTTGGCCCCTGTTGTTTTTTCACCTTGTACATCCCCCTCCATCCTTGAATGACTGGCTCTTTATCCTTCAGGTTTCCATTTTACTGTCACTTTGTGAGAAGGGCCTCTCCTGCCCACCAGTCTACAGTCGCTGCCTTCCCCAGGCCCCTCTATCTCATCATCTGGCTGTACTGTCTTCACACCACTTGCTACTATTGAAATTATTATCGTGTTTCTTGCTTTCTGTCTGGCTTACCCAGTAAAATGTGAGTGCCGGAGGCCAGCAACCAAATCTGTTCCCAGCACCTACACCAATTCCTAGGGTACAGTAGGTGCTCAGGAAAGGTGGAATGAATGAAAAAGAAAGAGGCTCCAGTGGGGCCCAGACGATGGAGGATCATAAGTGCAGTTTAGGCCCAAAGCAACAGCAGAGGTTGGCGCCACCTCGGTCCGCTCGCAGCCCCCCCCCCCCCCCCAGTGTAGCCCAGCGTGTTGCCGTGGAGACAGCTGCAGGACCCGCCCCTGGCCGCACTCTCTAAGTCTTTATCTGGCAGAGGAATGCGCGGTATCCACACTCGCTGGCGCTGGGGCTGCCCCTCCTCTCTCCCGCGACCGCCACACGCGCGGGACCTACACACCTCCAAATGGGGACGTGGGGCTCCTCTCTGTCTCGCCAGGGCTCCCGCCTCAAGATTCCCGGAGGACTGGGAGGGAGGGATCTAAAAAGCAGCGGCACCACGAGAGACGCGCCCACGTTGCCTCATGTGGGGGGACCGTGGGCTCAGCGTGTGGAGCCGGGAGCGTCTGACAAGAGCAGAGACGGGGGAGGGGGGAAATCCCCGGGTGAGTCAACCGGTACACGAGGAGGGGGCGAAATCCAGACGCTCTGCGGAGCAGGGACCATGCGGGGTCTTCGCAAAACGAGATCAAACCCACGCCCATCCCTGACCCGAAAGGAAAGAGGAGGCGCCAAAGCCACGCAGTCACACTACTCTTCCTTCCAGAGCAAAGCCACGTCCCTATGGAGAGGCTTGAGGCGAACA